GAATCCTTCTCTGTCATATATCAGGTGCCTAATAAATTGCCGAAAACATTGAAGTACCGCATACTTCAAACAGCAGCGATTATCGCAATTCGCGTGAGACAACCAGTGCTTTGTGTGTAAAAGAAGCAAGTCCAGCCAGCCCCTACTACTGCCCTGATTGGCCTTCAATAGAGACCAGAAATTCATGAATTTGTATTATTGTCTTTCTTAATTTTTCTGACATTCAAATTATTTTATGTTGATGCCACTGAACATTAATGTTTTTCATAACACTAATTCATTCATTCACTATAATTTATATAGAACTGTAGAGCTTGATGATGAAGTTATCGAGAAGAGTACTCTTTGTTCAAAAACCATTCTTTTGAAAATCAATCGTTAACTATATCAAATATCCTAACCATGCTATGCTGAAGTATACATACAGCCGAGTTCGAACCCTGGCGATGGGTGTGTAATACCGAAGAGACCCAAAGTTGGTTGACGTAACAGATGGCTGTCCAGTACTCCCAGCTATTTCTACAATGGTTCTCTAACTAATGTCAGCTCATGATGCAATCGTGTAACCAAACGAATGAAATCCCTGTGAACCAACATTTGAAGATTTACATGCTTTGGTAAAAAAAATAAGCACTATGGTAGAAGTATGTTCCATCCACATCAAGGGAAGCAAAGAAAACACTCAGAACCAATTAAAGGCAATATATCAGATATCTATACCTACCTTTTTCAGAAAGTATGTTTGAAGGATTGATGTGATGAACATTTATACAGAGTAAAGAACATAACGTATGATTAGAAGTGAAGTTAATAACAGATAATGCCAATAATTCCTAATGTATTGTCGAAAATGTTATTAGAAGATGGAGATTAACTGAGAAAAGTGATGTATATGCGCAGCACAAATTGATTTATCAAGTCAATTTAGATGAAAAATAAGGGCCAATTGAAATACGCAAAGTGACGTAAAGGATTTAAGAATATTAAGAATAATTAACACAAACGTTTGGTTATCCGATCAGATGAGAATTACCAAGGTAGGTCAAGAGTAACAATAAATTGTTTTTGAATACACAGTTGGTAGGGGGTTGGCTTAAGTCTATTTTACGGATATCCATATCCTTAGTGTATTTCACTTAGCGCCCTTGACCAGTTATATAGATGACCTTAAAATCTGTGTTAACATTATTAATCTTATGGTTCATGTCAGTTATATATTTAGCTATTGACGAAGTTGGTAGTCTGCCACCTGCATCTATTGATTTTGCAAAGTTCATCTGTCTGTTTTCTAACCACTTGGGAATATGCTCTCCAGCCCTCACATATAAAGAGTGACTACTTCCCCCCATCTATGTGTGTCCACACACGCACATCGATAAACTGTTTGGAAAATCCCCCGTGGACGATCTATTTACAATATTTATAACTATTTTAACGTTTCAACTAACTTCGTTATTATTATCCTCTTATCCTCTAGACTATGTATCATTAATTTGATATTTATATATCATGTGCTGATTTTGACCTTTACCATTTGCTTTTGTCCTTGTTTAACCTTTAATTGTGGTTGTGTGTACATTGGCAATGTGTTGTTTAACAATATGAGTTTGTTTGTATGAATGAAGGTTATTGTGACCTGGGGCTATCTGCGCGAAGCATTGTTGAATGATTCTTCTGGAGAGAGGTTTTGATCTGATAGAGAAGATTTGTAGCTCAAATGGATGATTTTGATAAAACTCACAACTTAATAAACAACGTCTTCAACGACATCAAATTCATAAGAGAAGAGGAATCCGAGAACCAAATCCCATTTTTGGACGTCTTAGTCAAGCGAACAACCACAGGGGAATTAGAAACTCAAGTTTACGGGAAATCAACTCACACAGACCAAATCCTGAATTACAACAGCAAGAATCCAATAACACACGAAAGGAACTGCATACAAACACTATTCAAGAGAGCAAGGAGTCATTGCAACACTCCCACATTAAGGAAAATTGGGGAAAAATCTCATGGACATCTTTCAAAAGAATAAATATCCACAGAATTTCATCAAAAGACACACAACCTCAAGCCAACCTATCAAATCAAATGCCCCCAAGGAAAGCACAGAAAAAGTTGCCCTACCATATATATACAGGATATCTCAAAAACCACTGCAAGACTCTTCAAACCTTTAGGAATTGACGTCGTACACAAAAAACAAAGTCACTTCACTCAGCCATCTCTATGTCAACCAAAAGACTCAACAGCGAAAGAAGATGAAACCAACATCATCTACAAAATAAATTGTAACAAGTGCAAAAAACACTACATTGGCCAAAGTGGACGTCCCTTCGTCTTCGTATCCACGAACATAAACTAGGCGTCAACAGACATGATATCCACTCCCTCATGCAGACATCAACGGACATCGATTCAACTGGGATAACCAGCATTTAGATATTAGACAGAGGAAACACCAAGAGTGCCAGAGAATTTTTAGAAGCTTGGCTGGTATTCCAGTGAATCATCAATCAATAGACACATCGAGATAGACAAAATTTATCAACCGATAAGAAAGAAACCTGACACACAAAGGGTCAAAGTTCAAGTCAAAGAAACAATCAGTTCCAATACAAGTAGCTGCCTAGAAGGTGTGAAAACACACAAAAACAACCAATCACGACGTTCAAGGTCACCCGCCAGGAGAGATGATTAATAAACTCGTGGAGAAATCTAAACCTCACTTTGATTCGAATTGAAGTACGCGCTGAAGATGTCGCCTAGTAGGGTGATGAAAGCTTCGCAAATTAATTATCCAGCTCAGAGAACACAACCACATCAAAAAGAGGTTTTGATCCTACATTGTTGGGAAAATCCTGCTTGATTCTAAGGTACGTTTTGTAGTAGAACTTTGAGCATTCGATGCTAAAACAAGAGTTCACTGTCTTTTCACAACCACACTTAATTCACATTCAGGAGTTAAGGATAAACCACTAAGTTCGACGTAACACATGTGTGTATCTATGGATCTCACTTCTTCTGAGGATCTAGTTACACTGGGCGTACAGTCAGTCACGTTTATTATTGGATTTCCAAAGATCATCCTGTATGGTTAAGCAAGGCACATACAAGGTCTATTACAGACCTATTTTGAGGTAACCTTGTACATATTGAAAACAAAATCGATGTTAACAAGACTTCTAAAGTTCTCTGTCATATTTCGAAGAATCTCACTTTCCGCTTTTGGAGATTGCCTTTCTGATATATCACTGAAATTGTCGAGATCTACTTTGTAAAGCCTAAAGTAAGTGTCTAGAGGTAGTTCTTTGAGACGCTTTCCCCCTCTACTTTGGCCACCATCTTTAAATGTTGTATAAATTTTCTTCCCAGTTTTTTCGGATATTCAATCTAGCGCTATAGTTTTATGCATATTATCACTTACATATACCTTATTGTAGCTTAAATATACCTTATGTAGCGTCGGTAGCATAGCGGTTAGGAAGCTCGCCGACCACGCCTCACGTGGTCCGGGGTTTGATGCCCGGCCGACGCACTCCTTTACCTCACTAATCCAGAAATGCTGCCGGTAAATGGGAAAGGTTGGGCATGAGGCTAGCAACCCCATCCTGTAAAATAAACAGTGCTACCGAGACTTCAAGCCTCTAGCTTGAGGCCCTATGTTCCACTGAGGAACGTGAAGGAAAAAAAATACCTTATTGAACTGTAATCTACTTATTTTAACAACTGTATGTATTGTTTCATTTGTGTGTAATGTTACAAGTAGTCATATCTAGTCAAATGCACACACATTAAACAGAATGCTATAAGTGGTCTACATAGAGAATGATACAATCAGAGGTTTTAGAATGCTTGTTAGTCAGAGAAGACGATGATAAGATGTTCATACGACAACGAGTCATCCATTAGAATAATATTTAGTTTAAAAGTAAACCCCAGATGGAAAATTTCTGAATAAATTTCGTCTGAAAAGAATAAAAGAACTATTAAATATAGAAAAAGAACTCTTCGACTAACTAATTCGACATCATTTTCTTTTCCGAACTGACTTTTGTAAACTATCGAACGTTGAAAAACACTAGTCGATTAGCAGATTGTCGTGGGGAAATGAGGACATGATAAGCATTTGCGTATTACAACTTAGTCTATGGAACGCCTATATAATCAATGATCTGGACATTATCACATCTTGTATTTTGGTTGACCTTCATAGAAAACATGGGTTTATCAGCTACAGACTCATTTACAGGAAATTATAGTTTTATAAAACAAGGTGCCGGCTTCGCCAGATCAATAGCAAAGATAAGACAGATGGTGGGCGAGAAAAAATACCTCACAGCAGCCACAACATTTGACAGAGCACCAGCCTAGAACGCACAAACTAACGAGTATGCGAAATGAAAAGCGAATGGACTGGGTATTCACTGCGAAGACTGCTGATTGACATCACAGGTACAATACACACACACCAGTGGACCCAAATAAGAAACAAAGAGAGGGTTATACTTCAGGGATGGGAGGGGGAACAGTGACATCAAGGAGTTCGTGTAAGTAGCAGTAAAATGAAAGCTTATAGGTAGTTTCGGAGCCTGCAGTTGAAGCCGTATTCTAACCGACATACAAGGCATTATGATTATTAATCATTCATTTACAATAGCAATTAAATACACATCTAGGTAATTTCATAGAGCCTCTTTATGTGAGCACACTTTTCAATAGCTTCAATGTTAGACAGTGTTTCTTTACAAGACATTTCCCAAGCCCCTGAAGAAATACCAAGAAGAGCTGTTCAATACAATGCCTACTTATGCATTCATATGTATAAGTGATTAAACTGTTTTGTAGAACTGTCACATATAATACAATAACCAGAGTTATAGATTATTGTAAACCGCTGATAATTATATGGTTACATTTCATTATTATAAAAAAATGATACTGTTACTATTATTATATTATATTATTATTATTATTAACATTATTAACTAATAACTTACCAATGGAAGACAATTCACATGACAAATAATCTGACAAGCGGAACACTTTCGTTTGGCTCCAGATTTCTGAGAAGAGATACAATACACAAGGCAAAAAGCAAAAACAAAACACATAATTGACATAGAGGGTAGATAGATATATAGCGGTATAAATGGATAAACCTTCTTTCAATTACATCAGTTAAGAGAAAAAAGCAACAACAACAACTGAAGACAATTCAGATTTTTGTCTTGTGCTTTGCCATTCTCAAAGAAGGGTAAAAGAAAAAACCACCATTACTCTAATATGAAAAATAAGGTATACAAATGAATTTTAAGCTAGTGAGCATGGTGGGGGCCGGGAAAAACAAGCAAACCAGCAGATAAACGGATAGACAAACAGACAGACAACACTTTCTTGAGTACCACAGATGAGAAGTGAAAAGACACTTAGGTGGTAGTAGTAATAGTAGGACTAGGATTATTCTGTTTTGACGTATGATACGGACTGTGCCATTGTGTTGACTACGAATCTCTAGAGGAGAGGGATGTGTGTGTGTGTGTTTGTAGATGCAAAAGAGATATTATAAAAACAAGTATTATGACTTTTAGTGAATCATATCAAAACAGGAAATAAGATTTATCGTCTTCCTGTTTCTATTCTGCACTTGTGTTTTGTTCCATTTTTGTTTTTTTTACTATTTTTTGAAGCCTTTCATAACTGAATAAGAGGGAAATGAAATTTGATAGACTCTTCCTTTTTTTGTAAAGTAAACAATTACATAAGATTACACTTCCATCAAGGAAAATCATATGTACATATATATAAGCGTAACGGAAATGACTGTTTTAAAAATCCTTCCGGAATTGCTGAATTACAATATTGACATGTATTTGCATAAATCAACTAACTTTGTAATCAGTTACAGGATTTCATCAACAGCTGACATCAGTTAGAGAACCCTTGGAAAACCAGCAGGGAGAACTGGACAGCGGTTTCTATAGCCCTAGTTTGGGATGCACCCATCACCACCAGCGTTCGAACACTGGACCTTCTGGTTACAAGGTGACAAGGTGGTAGCCAATTAAGCCACTAGGTCCCTATCCAGTGGCAACCCGATGAATTTCAACTTTGCCACTTCAAGATCTAGCGCAACAGCAATTAGTCAATGTCATCGGTGGCCAGTATTTGTCCTCACGCCCGACCTGCTGTACCCCATTGGTCACAACTTTCCATTTTCCACTACTTCCAGTTGGTTTCTAATGGTTCTCTAACCAATATCAGATCATAATGATGCTGTAACAAAGTTTAGTTTCTATTCAAGGCGAAGAAATATCTCTTTTCTTTCAACGACTTCATTTTCAAGCTGTACATTCTTCTTTTGTATTTTATATACGCAGATTATTTGAATAAAGATAATTTAGCATGATGCTGATGAAAGATGAGAGTAAGGATGAAAAGTCTTCCATCTTTGAACATCTACTAGAATCAGATTATTCAACTACATTCGATTTATCCTGTGAAGTTACTTACAGGACCGAATTAAGTCAATTTAAAAGCTTACAATTTCTTCACTTCTGTTTAGTCAAAGCTCCAGCTATATATATGCATGGACAAAAATCTAAACTATGTTTTATTGAACCACTTCCCTTCCCTGGTCACAATAATGCACTTTTATATATTATTGCATATTATTTTGCCACTTGAATTTATTCCACCTAACTTCATTTTCGTCTTTTTAATAGTGATCACCATCTCACTTATAAAATTTTGACAATACTTAACCTACTTTCAACTTCCTGATACATTGATCATTTAATTACATATTTTGAACAATATGATCACACACACACACACATTGACTTGTCAAGTCAAGTTATATGAAAAATAAAACCCAATTAAAATACACAAAGTGACGTAAAGGATTTAAGAATATTAAGAATAATTAACACTACGTCTGGTCATCTGATCAGATGAGGATTACCAAGGTAGGTCAAGAGTAATAATAAATTGTTTTTGAACACACAGTTGAGGAGGGGGGATTGGCTTAAGTTTATGAATATCTATAACCTCACTGTATTTCAGTAGGCCCCCCCACCATTTGTATAGATAACCTTAAAATCTGTTTTAAGATCAATCTTGTGGTTCATATCAATTAGATGTTTCGCTTTCAACGAAAGATGGTAGTCTGCCACGTGTGCATGTCAACTTTTCAAAGTTCAACTGTTTTTCAACCACTTCGAGATATGCTCTTCCACCCTCATCTGTAAAGCACGATTACTCCTCCATATGTATGTCACTGTGGTCAAGTGGTTAAAACATTGCGTTGTACCTGCACTAACCCAGGTTCTTATCCTAGCAACGATATCCTGTTTGTAAGTCGGTGGTTCAGCGGCGGATCGCTGGCCATCTATGCACTTGGTTCAGGGTTTGAATCTCAACCGGCGCACATCCTTACCTTACTTGGTTGGTTAAAAATCCTGACAAAGAGGAAAAGTTGGGTGTTAGGCTAGCAATCCCACCCCGTAACGTAAAAAACAACACTTTTACTGAAACTTAAAAACTGTAGCTTAAAGTTCTATGTTCCACTAGGAACGTAAAGGAATAAAATGAATAATAAAAAAAATGTATACTTGTCCACATATACACACATGTAAGTAGGTAAATAGTGTGGAATGTAACACAATCACTTGTGTACTTTTAAAGTTTGCAGTGGAGCATATTGGCGATTGAGTTTTGGTCATCGTGTCAAAATCCTACTATTTATTTTCACAGTGTATGGTAATTTAATTGAAACATCCATCCTAGAGATAGAATAGATTGTAGGTTTTAGAACCAACCAACTTCTAAACTTGCGTGTAACTGTTTAAGGGATATTCTTTTTCAGCGGAAGTATTCACGAGTGTTTTATTTTCATCCTCTACAGAATAGGTTGTACACATATGCTAAATTGTCTTGAATAATTACTCCACAAAGCCTCTCTTATACTGTAGTGGACAGAGGCTGTGAAAATTAAGCTATTGTCATGTTCAAGTAGGCTTCTGTAAATTGATCGTCTTATTGAACCATCTTGTCTTTAAATCAAAAGTATGTCTAAAAATGCAAGCTGGTCATGAATTTTTTCTTAGCATTTCAGATACTGTACACAGTTAAGTCTATCTAATAGACGACTGGCATCTTCATGATCATCACATATCAAAATGATATCATCTACATATCCTCAATAGAAAGGGTAGTTTAGAAATTAAATAAAGGGACTAGTTTTCAACATTAGACATGTAAATGTCCTCGTCCTAATGAACTTCCCATAGCAACACCATTCACTTGTTGAAAGTCCGCACCTTCAAGCGTGAAATGGACACTGTCAGTACGTACTAGTATTAAATCTTTTAAATAAGTTGAAGGAAAAATGAATGAAAAGCGGTTAAAAGATGCATAGTCACACAGAGAATATCAACAGTCTTAATCAATGGTACATTAGTAAGCAAAGAATTCACATCAAAAGAATACATTTTCACATCTTTGATGTTGATGTCTACAATACAGTTAACAAGTTCAAACGTGTCTTTCAAAGACAGCTTACACAATCTCCGTCTTTGAAATAACCGTATACAAATTTATAAAAGGAACTAATTGTTGTAAATCATTTAATAATCTTTAGACATTTTGTAATTCATCTAATTCAACAATATCCTCTTAAAAATTATGTTAGTCAACTTTGTTCTTATCATATGTATATTGCATTGAATGCTGAGAAAGTTTTAGTGACACTCAAAACTCCTTTTTTCGTAATTTAAATATTATTGGTTGCTTAGAATTGGTTGGAAATAAAGTCGTTAAAATTAAATAGGTATATTTCATGACTTTCACTGAAGGACAGCAAATGCCTTTCCTAAAATAGCGCATTGTGAGAGTAGCCTGACACTCGCGAGATGTCACCCAGCCGCGGCCTCCTCAGCGAGTGTCCAATCCATCTCAATTCATTTTCTCCTGCATATTTGTTGGGCGATTGATTGGCTCTTGTTTTGTTTGTTTGTGCCCATAGTTTCGTGTTAGTGATTCTTTCCGACCCGGTCATCTGATCTTCAGTATAGTTCCAGCGAAGACAGTTGTTAATAAAAGTCTGGTCTGCAACAGGCTGTTGGAAAAATTCTTTGTGACCCACCCGCCGTCAAGTTTTTGATCCGTATAGAAGAACTGACTGACTTGACGTTGTTTGTATTGAAAATTCGACCAGATTTTGTTGGTGATGCTGGCTGAGTGACGAAGATTTCCATCCAGATTGGTTTCAGGTTGATGAATGAATGTGTTTCTCGCTCGCCTTCCTGATTCTTGCTCGATTTGACATCCTCATCCGTTCCGACTGCCTGTAGTTGAGACAATGCTTAATGTTAGATAAGTGAGTGAATGAAGTAACCTCTTTCAAATCCCTCCCGTTGATGGTGATTGACGTTGGATGTTGTTGCTGTTGTTGGTTGGCTATTTTCATAACCTCCGTCTTGTCTATGTTCACTGGAGTCCTGTCATCACTGCCTGCTTCTTCGACCAGTTTGTCGGTTTTCGCTTGTAAGTCTTCGATTTTGTGTGACAGCAAACATAAATCATCCACGCGGGAAACCCAGGTCTTATAGGTTCTTCACGTCGGTCGGTCCAGGATATTCCTGTCTTCTCGTTTCCCACTCACTGTCTGACGCATAATCCAGTCAGTCCGCCACAATTAGGAATATCATTGGTGATAATAAACAAGCAACCTTGTCGGACTCCTGTGTTTATTCCAAACGCCTTGCTGACCTTTCCGTTGTGGATCACTTGACATGTGCCGTTATCGTACAGCTGTTGAATAATAAGATTGATGAATATTTGGGGTACGCCGTAGTACTCGAGTAATTTCCAAATTACTTTGTGGTCAACGCTAACTGTCGAAGGCCTTCTCAAAGTCTATGAAGTTGAGGTAGAGGTTTGATTGCCATTGCATGCTTTGTTTTGTGCCGATGATGCCAAGAGTCGCAGTTTGTTCAGAACATGATTTACTTTTCCTGAATCCAGCTTGTTCTGGTCGGAGTTTTGTATCCAGTGCGTTCTTTAT